TCACCCTCCTCCACACCCCAAAAAAAAAGTGAAAACAAAAGTATAATGAGAATTTACACTAATATATTAAAATTTATCAGCAACTAAAAGGAAAAAGGTGACGAAAAGACGAAGAAAATATATAAGACAAACGAAAGAAAATATAGAAACAGATATACCAAACAAAAACAGGGATGTAAGCAATAAAAAGGATCCGGGTTTATTATACCGTGCAAGAACTTCCATACATACAATAACCAGCTACTAACATGTTCTTCCCAGGTTGCAGAACATCTTCTATGGTTGGTTCATGGCCATCTTTTACCATATAAATCCCAAAAATCTACAACATACTCAATTGACACCAGCAATATGCATTTAGTCTAGATTATTAATTTTTGTATATATTAAGTGAGAGCTATTAATTTAATGCTGATGTAACAATAACAAAATGGTTGTAATAATAATAAGGGTTTATCGGATGTCCTATCATAAAATATAAGATTTTGTTCTGTCACATCTTATAACTATGTATTTTGGAAAAAAAATACAGTTATAATATTATTTTTTTTTTCCTTCTATACATTAGTCAATAAATTTATGAAAAATTAAAAAAAAAACTTTAATATTATAATTATATATTACCTTAACATATATAGTTATAGTTATAAAACAGTGATATAACAAATCTTATATCATGGTACCCCATATAATAATAACAGAAGAGGAATTGAATGAAAGACGGGGAATGGGTCATACTGTGCCAATGGAAACACCACAATCAATGTTAGAGGAGCCATCCAACGGGTCAAAAACAACACAATACCTGCATCATCAGAAAACTAAAATAAAACAAAAAGTTGTATACTAACTAATCAGCACAATAAATTAAGGGTTTCATTTTTGTTATGTTATTGAAAAAAAATTATCTAATAAAAAAATTATGTATTATAAATAATACATAATTATAATATTAAAATTATTTTTTCTTTCTATCATGTGAATCAATAATATATGAGAAGAGAAAAAATTAAAATAATTTTAATATTATAATTATATATTATTTCATAATATATAATTATTATTATTTATTTTTACATTACATAATTTTTTTCCAGTAACATTCCGATAAATGAAAGCTAAACATTTATTCTAGAGTACGCAAATCAAAGCATAAGAGAGAGAGTGAACAACTTTCCACGCTTAGAACGTTCCACAAACACGGCCTCTTCATCTTCTTCAGAAACCAGTATGCACTGTTCAAATATCATACCATCATCACCAAAATAAAATAAAATAGAAAATAAAATTATTTAATTAATTCATAATGATATAATGACTCACAGTTCGGCCACTGCTTATCAAAGCCTTGACGAAGAACTCATTGAAAAGTACATCTAGTTTCTTCTGTTCTTCACCCTTCGTATTCCAAACAACAAAACCAACGGTATAGAAAAATTAATAAATAAATAAATAACGGAGACGAAATAAATAAATAAAATAGTAATATGATGATGCAGTTCACTTGCCTGAACATTAGTATCTCCAGCGAGTCCAATGAGTTTAGCAAGACCAGCCTACACACATTCATAATCGAAGCCAATAATAATAATAATTAATGTGGAGAGATTATATTTATAATTTTTTATTATTATTTCTTATTACTAAATTTTAATCGTTGAGTATTATAATTTATTAAATTATATTTATTAATTAATTATTAAATTAGTGTACAATAATGTTTAATTATTTTGGTATTGAATAGTGATATTTGGGAAAAAGAAAGAAAGAAGAGAACCTTGTTAACAGCAGAACAAACGAACTTGCAGCCGAGAACAATGTGACTAAGCAAGATGGTGAAATCGCCGCGTGACTCAGGGTGCTTTGATTGCTCGCTCAGCACGAACCGCGTTATGGTCATCAAGTCCGTGCGTTGTGCATCTGCCCTATGATTAAGATCTGGTGGTGGCTCCGACAAGGGTGGAGGATCAACCGCCATTATCGGAGGTTTTAGTGACTCCGACGACTGCGCACCCATCGCAAATGCCTTGTCCGCCTCCATAGTTCTTTCCTCTGAACCCTTTCTCACGATTCCCTGATTTTCCTTCTCCTCCCACACCGATTTCGGTTGCGATTCTGATTCTGGATTTTGAGGATCACATTGTGCATCATCATCCACCAAACAAATTTCTGGTATGTATTTTCCTATAAATGCTTTTGTAAAACCTCACCAACTTGCCTTTGGATTGAGATAAGACCAACATATATACCATGTAAGTGCAAGTCCTCTAAGCCCCTTCACCGCCTCTGTTAACTTGTCTTCTTCTTGTGTTCTTTCTGCTTGAAAAAATTGCTCAAGACTGAGTAGCCATCCCCAAGCTTCATCGTCTTCTTCTCCGTAGAATTTAGGGACTTCTCTTCTAGCTCTCCGACGATCCTTCATCTGTTGCAGAGCTTCGTCCAGGTGCAACAATATTTTTTTAAGATCATCTTCTGGATTCTCACTTCTTAGCGTGGCCATGGTTCACAGAGGATTACAGTATAAAATGACAGTGAACAGTATTAGACGTTACAAGGAAAATCAACGACTGAGCTGGAAACGAAAGATACAGAGCAGAAACAGTAAAACGAGAATGTGAAGCAATTCGAGAGACCTCACTCACTCTCAAGTGTCAAGGTCCATTCCCACTTACAACTTCCACATGATTCCCTTCACGCACCCATCCTCCCTTTTAACTAACTCTTGCCAGCACCTCTTTCTGTTAGGGGCCAATTTAGTAAACTTTTGCTGACTCAGCAATGGCCCAAACCTCCTAATTTTATTCTTTTTATATGATGGTTTGTGTCACTGATAAAACTTAAGCGCTCCCGTTGCACTCAAGTTGAGTGCAATTTGCATTCGTTTATACCAGAATACGCAGCCGGATCGGCACAAATATTTTAGGATCAAAAAATCCGACTACGTATCCTAGAATAAATGAAATGAAGTGCAACGGGAGTATTAAAGAAGCGCTCACCTGTTTCACAATGCAGTGAAATCTGTCACATAAAGCATACCAGCTATAAGCCCTGAGAGTTTAAACTGCCATCGAACTCTGGATAAGTTATTTCACTCTCACAAAGAGATGAGATTCACACTTTTTTTTCACTCTCTCTCCCCCCCATAATCTATCTCTTTCTCTCAGTTAATGATACAATTTTATATTCTTTAAAATAACATACATTTTTCCTTTTAAAAAATGACTGAGCCGTTGCACTTCATTTAGGATGATAACCCCATTCATTTATACCTTGTAACTTACAAGCTTAAACTAATAGGTCAAGTTAAAATTATCCATCTTTAAGTGATTTAGCTTCCTCCTCTCTCTGTTTTGGTTTATTACAAGGATTCTTTCTTAGTTGGGTTGTAGTTAGATAGTAACATGGTTAACAACCTAGTATTGAAGTCTAAGTAATTTAAGCAATCTTTTTATCTGGCTCTACTGCTGTGAAACAGCCTCACTTGCATGTAAAAGAGGCAAGGGGAAGACTAGATATGCCAGGAAGATTTTTTTTATTTTTTTCTTAAATTGAGAATCTTGAATTGATTACCATAATTTTATGACTTTGGAACTTGCAATTTTTTTATGTTTGGACAATTGCTCAAAAACAAGATGGTAATTGGTAAATGATATATTTAATCATTGGTCCCAAAAACAAATTCCTGGCATGTCTTGGTGTTTATTTTAATTTCTGTATTTCATTGGCCTGATATGCATTTTTTTTTCTTTTCCTTTTGTGCTGGGGTTTCAACTTGAATTTGCAGGCTTATGACCAGCATCTTAATATGATTCGTGATGATGTTGAAGAAATTGTTACTACTGTGGAAATTGATGATGAGACATGAAGAAATTGTGAGGGTAAGTTGTAATCAGCAAAAAAAAAAAAAGACAAAACATGTGTATTCTTTTTCAGCAAAACTTAGAACTGTGAATAGTTGCTGGAAATTTTGAACAATTATAGATTATTAGCCATTAAGAAGCATTGTTGAGGGCAGTATCAATTATTAACTACTCCTGTTTAGGAAGAGATGGTTATAATTTGTAAGTTATAGGTATATTGAGAAACTTTGTTTGAATGGAGCTTGATCGTAGAAACATCATTTGCAAATAACTATGCCCAAATGAATTCCTTATCTGCGAGTATATGTATTGTAAAAGCTTGACACTTCTGGGTATTTTTTAAATTAGATTATTGGCCTTAGGAAAATGCATGCTACATTTATTGTGAAGATAAATTTTTGTTTTTCTTCTGATTTCAGACTACAAAGCGGACAGTTCTTTTCCTATTTGTTAGGGGAGATGGGGTGATTTGGTTTCCCCTCACTGAGGACTGCATGACATGGACTGATGAGCTATGTGATCATTTCAATGACAATTTATGAAATTGTGTAACTTCTTAAATAGTGATCTCATTGCTTATGTTGAGATTAGTTCCTTAATTGCCATGTTTGCTAGTGATTTCTATTTAACAGTCAGTTTTCAATTCTCTTTAGCATGAGAATCATGGCATGCTCATGAACAAGGCTTTTTGGCTGCACCATGGAGCTGTTGTTACATATTAGTGGCTCCATAAGAGTCAGCCGTGATTCTTGATTTGGTGTCTTGTCTTTATTTGCTTTTTTATTTTTAGTTACAATAGGAGATCTATGATCTGGGACAATGGGTAAATTTGGTTATTCCTATAAAGCGTGCCAGAGTTAGCAAGACTGCATTCAATGATTTGAAGGATACATGAACGGATAATACAAAGCACAGTAGAACTCATTGAGTTGTCTTGAAATTGTAAGCTGAGTGGTAATGGATTACCATCCAATTGATTGTGAAATATAACGAGATGTGGTAATTTTATTTATATAATAACTAGGACTTTGTTATTTATATTTCGGAGAATGAAGGTAGAATGTTGTTTTTGTTATTTTATTGTTCAAAATGGAAGTGGTATGAGAATGATGTAATGAAAATGGTGGATAAAGAATAGTTTAATAATTACCAGGTTTATGGAATTTCACTTAGATATACAGCTAAAGGAAAAATAAGAGTTATCCATCTTCAGTAACATGTAAAGTGTTAATTAAATCTAAATATTGTTTCTCCATCGATATATTCTATAACCGTGGCTGGTACATTAGCAAGTTTTATTAACATATTGATAACCAGATAAGAATTTTCCTTAAAAGCACTTGTTATTTGTTAGTCTAACATATTATAACAAATAACAAGTGCTAGTAAGTAGTAAGTAACGAAAGACACGAGCATGCCTTTCCGTTCATTCCTATTTATTCTCAGCAGCATAAAGAGCTTTGATTTCCTCAACATCATCATAGCTACCGAGGAATATAGGTGATCGCTCATGTAATTTCGTTGGAATTAAATCGAGTGCCTGATCATAACATGAAATTTTTATCAGTTCATTGGCAAATGATACCTTTAATAAAAAATATACAGCTAAAGTAATTTTCTTTTGCAAGAGAGCATGCTGAGATGAGTTCTGATTTCTTGAAGCCAAAAAAATAATTTTCCAGGGATAATTTAACAAAAAAAAATTTTTAATTACCCTTTGCTTTCCCGTGAAAGCCTGTCCTCCTGCTTGTTCCATCAAGAATGACATTGGGAAGACTTCATACAACACACTACAAAAAACATATATATATATATATATATATATATATATATATATATATATCAATTTTCAAAACTTCAGTCATCAGAAAAACTATATCTTGGATATGCTCCTCCAAAATAAATTTAAAAAAATGCAGGGTTTGAAGATGACATACCGAAGTTTTCCATTTGGACTTTTTTTATCAGCAGGGTACAAAAAGATGCCTCCATAAAGCAATGTACGATGAACATCAGCTACCATGCTGTTAATGTACATAAATGTCAAAAATTGGAAAAAGACATTGAAACTTTACTAAACTTCTCCGCAGAAGGCGAACAAAAACTCAATTCATTGAGTGGCCACATTCAAGTGCAGTAGTTAGCGAGGATAACATAAGGGAAAGACGAGCTGAACTCATTAAAATAACCTTTAAACTTAGTTAACGTTGTTATGCAGTTCTGAGCATATATAACTGAGTCATGCTAATTTAACTCTTTGCAGATATTTTTCATTGATACATAATATTTTGTGGTCTGGCTACTAATTCAAATTGTAGTTTGTATTAACAGTTAGAAAATAAGAAGTTCAAAATTGGAGACAAAGCAGAAGGAAGATGCAGTTATCTCAGAGTTCATCTGAAATATTTCAGATTAACTCAGAGCAATGGATGATAAAAGACTAGTACTAGTAGTCAATGTAGAGTTATTTCAATCATCTAATAATTAACGCATAAATAAAGCAGATGCAATAAATAAAACATAGAAAGCAACAGAGTATGAATGGCAGTTGTGTTGTAAAATGATAGTAGTCTTCCATTTGATGTAAGTAGTACAAGTTAATTTCATGGTGGCAACCGTCTGAAACAACTATGAGGAGTAAAAAAAGAACAGTAAGCAAGTTAGACTGCCTCGAGGATTTAGAATCTGTGATACCTTCCAATATATCGTAGAGACTTAGGCGATGAACCATCTTTTGGAAACTTGCACTTCTCCACATAACTGAACAGAAGTTAAAAATTGAATTACAAGATTGTCAAAATTTGCAGTGTCTGATAACATTATAACATTACTGAATTCATACAGACGTGGCAGTAGGACCATCCCAGTTTTTGGCATTTCCTTCATTCACTGAATAAATCTTGCCTTTCTTTGGGATCTGCAAGAGAACCACATATAAAATGACTAACATAAACCTCAAGTACGCCACAGATGGCGTGAATATACATGCCAGAATTAGAAATAGGTAAATATCAAGAGAGAAAACAGAGCTCAAGTGTTCAACAAATACAGGTTTGATGATAAAAAAGTCAAGGAAATCTACGAATACTTTCCAGAACATAATTCCTAATTCCAAATTGTTTTTAAATAGGGAAGTCTTTTCAGGAAAAGAACAAACAAGAAGATAGTTATGTCTTCCTACATAGAGAATACTGAAGGAATAATAGAAAAATAAAATTCAACATGTCAATCATCATCTGAAGGGCCGGCTTGGCTCAGCGGTAAGCTTGCTTGCCGTGGTGTGTCAGGTCGCGGGTTCGAATCAGCCTCTCTGCAAAAAGCAGGGGAAAGACTGCCTAGAGTATTCCCTTCCCCAGACACTCACGAAGTGGGTATTTGAACTGGGTCGGCCCTTTATGTCAATCATCATCTATTAGCTAGGACCCATTTGTTCACGGTCAGAATCATATATGCAGCCAGAAAAATTATATTACATAGTAGTTTGTGCAGTTTGGTTATAATTTTGAATTCTTAAAATCGATTCCCGATCAGTAGAAGTGATTTTGAGAGAAATAATTTTTTTTAACTTTTCTGGATAGTACAATTGATTTTAGGTGATGCTTATAAAATTTTTAGAGACATTTAGATTTCAGAAGCGATTCTACTGTACCATTCAAACAAAATCAAATCTTCTAAACTCACTTTTAAAATATCATTCTCAAACACACAAATTTTTTTAACATTAATTCTTTCAAAATTAATTCAACCAAAATCTAAACCACACGGACCCTTAATTAATATAATCAGACATTTGCCTCAGTGGTTGAGATGTCATCTTAACTAGGATAAAAATAAATAGAGCAAGTTTGTATGACCTAGAAAAGCCTTATCCATCTAGTTTGAAATTGCTGACATTTTGACCTAAGACCTTCCAACACTGACCAAGCCAGTTCTGTGGGGAAGTTTCAAGGGCAAGAGAAGTAACTTGCATCAAATTCAGTTCGAGCAAATAGAAAATTAAGCAGTTCATGACTTTCAAAAAGCTGAGCAGCCAGGCAAGCATTTCCAAAGAGAAGGATGATTTATAATAATGATCCTTAAAGTGAGCAGAGGAATACCTTAATGTCAGGGTGAGTTAGGATGAACTCACCAAGAGATGGATCAAGGGTGAAACCATTAACACCAGTTCCAGTGCTTAAAACAAGCTGCAAAATCATTAGATCCCAAATTGTAACCCAGTAATTCAGCATTGTAATTTTACAATGAAGGCAAAAGAAGTCATGACTTTATGTCCTCATATCTACCAGGGAAAAAAAAAAAGGAAACTGCAATTGTTTTTTCACCCCCACCCCACCAAAAAAAAAAGTGAAAACAAAAATTCATAATGAAAATTTACATTAATATATTAAAATTTATCAGCAAATAGAAGAAAAAGGTGAGAAGACTAAGAAATATATGTAAGAGAAACTAAAGAAAATATGTAAATAGATGCACCAAACAAAAACAGGCATGTAAGCAATAAAAAAGGATCCGGGTTTATTATACCGTGCAAGAACTTCCATACATACAATAACCAGCTGCCACCATGTTCTTCCCAGGTTGCAGAACATCTTCTATGGTTGGTTCATGGCCATCTTTTACCATATAAATCCCAAAAATCTACAACATAGTCAATTAACACCCGCAATATCCAGTTAGTTGGGAATATTAGTCCTTCTATACATAACTCAGGCACTGCAAGATTTCCATGAAAAGCAAAATAATAATTATAAAAATGTCGCCAAATGTAGTGGATATTATCTTGATTAGATATTAAAGGTGTTATCGTTATGATATTTGGTGTGCCTCTTTTTAAATGTAGCCATTATACATAATGGTGCATTATATGATGAAGAGAAACCCCTCTCCCTATCTATATTTGGAGTCCTATACAAGGACATGCTTTTCTTATGAAGAAAGAAGAAGAAAACTGGATGACATTCCATGCTTTCTTAAAGAATTCATATTCTTGATCTTTTTTTCTATATTTGCCCTCCTTATTTCATAACAAAAACAACATCAGTGTTTCAACCGCAACATCTACAGCATCAGATTGTAATTGCTGCAACTAAATAACATCTTCAACATAAACAACAATAATAATATAAGGAATTGAAAGAAAGATGGGGAAGGGATCATACTGTGCCAATGGAAACACCACAATCAATGTTAGAGGAGCCATCCAACGGATCAAAAACAACACAGTACCTGCATCATCACAAAATTAAACTAAAACAAAAAGTTTCATACTAACTAATCAGCCCCATTAAATGAAAGCTAAACATTTATTCTAGAGTACGCAATCCAATTAACACTACAAGTCTATGCATAAGAGAGAGAGAGAGAGAGAGAGAGAGAGAGAGTGAACAACTTTCCACGCTTAGAAGGTTCCACAAACACTGCCTCCTCATCTTCTTCAGAAACCAAGACGCACTGTTCATATATCATCCCATCACCAAAATCCAAAAAAATAAAAATAAGTAAATAAATAATGATATAATGACTCACAGTTCGGCCACTGCTTATCAAAGCCTTGATGAAGACCTCATTGGAAAGCACATCCAGTTTCTTCTGTTCTTCGCCCTTCATATTCCAAATAACAAAACCAACGGAATAGAAAAATTAATATATATAAAAAAAAGAAACCAAATAAATAAATAAATAAAAAAGAACAGAAAAATATTTCTACAATGCAAATAAGTTATCTGTATTTACTTACAAAACAACGTTGTTTTGGGATTGAAAGATTAGAAAATTATAATTATAAAAATTATAATAACTCTGGAATAAATTAAAATTACAAAAACATCAAATTTTCGTTCCAAAACGACGTCGTATCGGAGTCACTGCAGTCGGAGAGAACCCAAAAAAGAATAGATTATTCTAGCTGTTTTTTTTTTTTCTTATTTTTTTGCCTATCAGTTTTCATCATGATTTCAACTGTTTTTATCATTTTTCTCTCTTATTCTCAATTACTTTTATCATTTCTCTCTTTTATTGATATGATCCAATAATGTTGGAGAGTTATAAACAAAAACAGAGAGAAAAAAAGTAAATAAAATAACGTAAAAGAAATATTAATATGATGCAGTTCACTTGCCTGAATATTAGTATCTCCAGCGAGTCCAATGAGTTTAGCAAGACCAGCCTACACATATACATTTAATCGAAGCCAATAATAATAATTAATAATAATAATGTTTAATTATTTTGGTATTGAATAGTAATATTTGGGAAGAAAGAAAGAAGAGAACCTTGTTAACAGCAGAACAAACGAACTTGCAGCCAAGAACAATGTGATTAAGCAAGATGGTGAAATCGCCGCGTGACTCAGGGTGCTTTGATTGCTCGTTCAGCACGAACCGCGTTATGGTCATCAAGTCCGTGCGTTGTGCATCTGCGCTATGGTCCATTTTTCTTCTCTTCAATAACCAAACCCAATTTCACACTACACAAGTGAAAGATAGAAAGTAATATTATTTATATATATGAAGAGAGTGAGAGTGAAGAGAGATGGACCACTAGTAGTGTTGGGTTCGAGGGGGGTTTGGGTGATGGGGAAGAAAGGGAAATAGATTGGGGCTATCTCTCCTGCCACTTGGGACACGTGGCCGCCATAGAATGAAAGATCCATATCGTGCCTGTTAGCGTCGGATAACTATATTCCTCTTCCATCCCTCGTTAGTCGTTACATTATTGCATATTACTGTGCATTGCATTTTTATTTAGTTTGTTGAGCCAAGCCAAAGAATAAAGTTATGGTTATTCTTTAGATAATACATTTAAAATTAGGGAAATTATACTCTTATGCTACATAAGACTCCTATCTCATTTTACTCTCACATAAAAAGACGTGCATCTCTTTTCTTTCTTTTTTCTTTTTTTAAAAATTAGTAGGCCCCACTTAATTTATCTCACAACATGAGATAGCTTCTCTCATACAACATGAGAGAAGTAAAACCCTTAAAATTATGAAAATGTGAGACTTGGCTTAATTTCTTTTTAACAGATACGAATTTAGGGGAGTAAATGCGTCAATCGGCTTGACGAAGGTATATGGCCTAATCTATATCATATTACACTTAGCTTATTATATATAATTAACTAGAACAGACTCGAATTTTTGAAAAAGTTTATTTAAAAAATTAGCCGGTCATAGATTATTTTATATGTCTGACCTATAAGTCTAGAAGTCAGCTTATATTATATTATTTAGTTTAAATAAATTTTATTTTAAAAATTTTAAATAATAAAATTATATTATTTTAATTATTTAAGGCCTAATAGACTTAAACAAGTTAATAGGTCTAGATCAATGATTTTATTTTTTAAATATAGGCCAAATCATACTTATAATTTAGGTCTACCCAAGGTTAACAAACTAGTCAAAGCCTAAAGTATTTTACACATATCTGACCTATTTAAGCTAAAACACAGCCTCGCTCAGCCTATTTAACCCTAGATACGACTCGTTCTTATAACTCTAGCTTATTAAATACTAATATAAGGGAGAGATTATACTTAGTACTGAAATTTTTTACAACTCTTACTACTAACTAATCATTGTTGAGTTGTAAGAGTTGTAAAACTTTTCAGTAGTAAGTATAATCTCTCCCCTAATATAATTATTAGTATTTAATTTTTTAAATCATATATATTTGAATTTTTAATATCATTTTTAATTATAAAAAATAACTATCAAATATCACTTAGATAAATCATTTTTTCAAAAAAAACTTTCCTACTTTTATTTTTTTCATAGATAACTTATACTTTTTATTTATAAATGTATTTATTGATTCATCGATTATTCGATTAAATGGATTTGAGCCGAGTAGGATCAAAACGACAATAAAATTATTACTACAAAATTATCAAACTCAAGATGACATATTTTTTTATGTATGATTTGTTTATTTATTTTATATTCAAATAAATAAATCTTATATGAAAAATTAGACTCAATGGGGATGCTAATTTGCTTAAGAGTTCTTAATTGTATTTCCTAAACATAGGCTTTAGATACTATTACTTGTATGTATGTTTTTGATTCATTTATTGTGTCTATATTTGGGCCTCTGATATGTAGTTATTGTTTTTAGCATCTGTGTTTTTAGCAACATAGCTCAAAACGATAATGTTTTGAGTTGTTTATCCGATGTATGGGGCTTACTCTTGACTCACGTGGCATTTCATATACTCAAAGTTTCTGTGTTATTTCTCTCTTTTCTAGTACTCTAAAAATACCATAGATAGGGTTTTTTCATTGAGGAATTTAACCCATTTGAGTGTGCTACACTGAGATTCTCATGTCAATGCTTCAGAGAAAGTTGCTCTCCTCCTTAAGACACATCATTTGATCGGTTTAGTCTTTGGAGATTCATTCAAACACTAGAGTGAAGATCTTGAATAGTGGTGCTCTTTTTGGTGGAGAAGAAATTGAGGATCCATGTGAAAAAAACCCATTGGTTTAGTGGTGTCAAGTGCAAGATTGGTGAAATCATTACTTTTCTTCTATGGTTTATATTGTATCTTGTTATTAATTAGATTCATATATGTTATAATTTGAGTGTAGGTGTTGTATTTCTATATGTTGTTATTTCTTCATATGTTTCTTTGATTTCTTTGTGTATATTGAGTAGTAGCTCTATGTAAGATTCTTGAATACTATTTGTCTTTCTTGATATTGAATTAAGTGTATAATATAACACCTCGTATTTCGTAAACGTATATTTATATATTAAAATGTGGATTACGGGGTAGGATTAGTGAAAATCCTGAAATTAGGGTTAAAATACATGAAAAGGGTAATGGTAAATTGCCAAACACGTAACCCTAGGAGAGAAAAATTGAGTAGAAGGTCTCAAATGGAAAAATGGACATTGTAAATGAATTCAGAACGAAAAATTGCGTGGGTAGGCAAGTTTCTGGAAAATTGGTGAATAATGATTTACCGGTGTAAAATACTGCAGTATAATTGTACCGATAAGTGCGAAAATATAATCAGTATTTCTAGGAAGTAAAAATATGACGTGAAAAAGAAAAATATGTAAGTTATGAATTTGTGGGTTAAATTAGATGATTTAAGAAAATTAAGTGACATGTGGGACCCACCTAAGTGATTTAAGTGATAAATGGGCAAAATGAGACACAAAATCAGGTTTTTCTCTCTCCTCTCTTCTTCTTCCTCTCGAGGACCTTCACCATGCTTAGGATAGTTTGAGTTTCTCAAATTTTACCTTGAGTTAGAGCCATTTTTAGAAGAAATTTCCAACTACAAAGTTGTTCCCCTTGATCTTGCGAGTGACTTCCATGTAAAGTGCATCTTGTGGGGAACAATGTGTGAGAAAAAAAACCCCCCATTTCAGCCACGAATTTTTGGGAATTTTGAGGGATTTTGGTGTTGTCTTGGTTTAATCCATTCATTGAAAATCATTCCCTTAGACCATAGGGAGCTATTGGTGGTAAGTTTTCCAACTCTTAATTGATTTATGAAGAAATCATATTTTGTAAAACCTAAGTGTATGTGTGGGTTGGTTGATGTGGTTGGGGGCTTTTAATGGTGTTGCTTCTTTGAAATTAAATGCTTAGAATGATAAATAATGATGATTGACGCAATAAAAATTATTGGTGAAATTGATTCATAACTTAGACAAATTTTGATGTGAGAATGCATGATTTTAAGAAATTGGCATGTGGTAGGATTGTATGATTGAATTATGGAGTAGTTATATTGGTTAATTATAGGTTGTATGATGTATGTAAGTGTTAAATTGAATTGAAAACCTTGGAGTATACTTTCATGAATAATTCGACCTATAGGAAATTTTGGGAAAAATGATGTGGAAAAAAATTGTGTAATCAATGTTTGATGCTTTAGTGCATAAAATAGTGGATTGGTGAGTTAGTTTAATGACCAAAGTGAGAGGACTAGTTGAAATAATGGAAGATAACCTTTTGGCCCAAGTGGTTAGGTTTGAGTATTATTATTGTGAAAGTGAATTGATTGCTTTGCAAGTGATTGATGATCATTGTTGTTTGATTGATATAGGTTCCCTCTCACGGACTCGATAGAAGTGGATTAAACTTGGAGCTTACGTTGAGGAGCTTTGTTTGCGGAATTGAGGTAAAGTCTTGGCACTGGGGTTTATCCCCTTGTGTGTTCCGCCACGCCCATTGGAGGGTAGTGGTTGGATTGTGTGCACTTTGACTTTGTATGAAATGCATGTTCATGCAGTATTGCCATGATTGTGTGACATGCTTGCAACATGTTGTGTGACATATCTATGATCTTTGGTCAGTAGATGTATGTGGTTTGGACTTTCGTTGGTGATATCCCTTTGGGGGATTTCGGTCGGGTTTTGCCGTGGGGCCGTCTCTGGGAGCGGTACCAGGATGATTCAAACGTGGGACTTCCGTTGGATAGGTTTCTTTGTAGTTCCAGTTGGGTTTTGCCATGGAGTCGTCTCAACCATGGGAGAGACACTAGTAAGTTTTCTGGAAGTTATATGATGGGGTCCTTGAACGGAATCCTTGTGTGGATGTTCTTGGATATGAGCCCAGTGTGATGTAATTTTGTGTGTTATGTATTTAATTTGATGATCATTGTATGAACATTGAGTGAGTCATGGGGTGGAGTGATCCTCTAGTACCCTTGGTTTACTGAGATATATTTGTATATCTGACCCCGTGTTTGGGGACATCATTTCAGGTTCTAGTGAGCATGGAGGATCTTCGGGCAAGAGGCCTACTTAGAGGTGGATTGGATCATGGTGTGCATATAGAGAGCATAGCATTTTGGAGGATTATATTTGATGCACATAGCATTGTATCTAGCATTTTGGACTTAGGTTATGAACATATTGCATGTTGATATTGCCATGCTTTTGAGTGTTCATGACTAGATTCTAAGTCTATGTAGTTGATATATATTTATGCCTATCGTTTACATTGATCTTTTGGTGAGCATGGGACTTGTCCATGGCCACATATGGTATTTTGAGGCATTTGGAGACTTATTGTTGTAAATGAGCCATATGAAGTCTAATTGGCAAGTTAGATGGTGAATATTGTATTTGATGTATTTGTATTAGAATGATGCATGATGCCTAGAGCCTACATTAGTACTTGTACAAGTTGTAATTTGAGTATTAAGGTGTTAGGAGTAGAACACTTGGTCTATTTTGTAATTAAAAAGCTGTCAAAATGTGATTTCACAGTAGGGTAATCGATTACCTTCAGCGTGGTAATCGATTACCTGAAACAGGGGACGCAAAATTTAGCCACTGTGAATGAAAGTAATCGATTACTTTTATGATGGTAATCGATTACCTATGATATGGTGATCGATTACCCAAAAACAGGGGAGCCAAATTGGAGCTACTGACTTCTACAGTAACTTTTGGTAATCGATTACCTCAAGGATGGTAATCAATTACCACACTGCAAATTTTGAAAAAAAAATGATTTTATAACCCTGAGTTAATGGTATTTATAACACCTCGCAATTCTAAATTATATAATAAAATATTAAACGTTGATTAAAGGGAAGGATTAGTGAAAATCCTGAAAATTAGGTCA